GAGGGAAGTGGGGAGAGGTGGCAGGTGGATGTGGGCCGGGCAGACCCAGAAGGGGGGTGGGCGGGGAGTGGCACTGACCCCAAGCGGGGGAGAGGGGCTGAAGGGGAGGAATAGCCCCAGACCCAAAGCGGGGGCGAGGAGGGGAACAGGGCCAGACCCAACGCACCAGGGGGGCCTCTGTCCCCCTGCACCCCCACCATCATCCTTGATGAGCAATTTGCTAGTTATTTTATAATTATCAGAAAATCTATAAATCTACCCCAGAGTGCTTCTCAGGAAGTAGAGTCATATATCTGAGCATCCTTATAGATACATATGAGTGTGTAAATCAGGGGCAGGAAATTATTTCGGGCGGAGGGCCGCTTACTGAGTTTTGGCAAGCCATCAAGGGCTGCATGACAGGCAGCCAGGGGCAGATAATTATTCATTTTCTAAATTTTTTAGGGGCCCCGCAGGCCGGATAGAATGGCGTGGCAGGCCACATCCAGCTCGCGGGCTGCATTTTGCCCACCCCTGGTGTAAATAAATATTTATTTGTGTGCGTCAGAGTGAGAGAGAGAATGGATATATGAATGTGTGGGTACGGGTGGCAGGCAGGTGAATTTATTTCCTTAGAAATCACTTTGGTGTAGATTTATAGACATCTGGAAAATTGTTAAATACATTTAGCAACTCTGAGGCTCAGGATGGAGTTGAGTTCTCTAGAAATAATTAAGGTGTATGTGTATATGCATGTGTATACATGTATTTAGGCATGCATATGTATGTATGCGTGTGTGAAAATGTAAAATAAATCTCAAAAAGCTGTTGTGAGATAAATTCGTGTTGGTAAAATGCGTCAAGCTCCTCAGATGAAATTGCAAAGCATAATTCTTATTGCAGATGCATTAAACTTGTTGAGGTCAGACTGGGCCAAATTACAAAGCCAAGCGCCACCAACGTCCTGGGGTAACTGCACGTGGGAGATGTCTTTGGTGGTATTAAGGTGGGGTGGGACTCAAATTTGAAACTCAGAGTAAAATCCCTATCCCAGTTTCTCTCTAGTTTACAGACAGTCAGCCCTAATGTCCCTGTTCAGACCCAGGTCTGATCATTATTGTTTTCTCAGAATTGCTAAATAGCTTTAGGAAGCAGACTCGTTAGTGATAACCTCTGCATGCCGGATGCCAATGTGTTTCACTTTTGAAAGCTACTGACATCGCAGCTCCTTAAAACAAGTTCTTGCTGGGTTTTAGCTCTGTGGTCATAGCCAGCCCTCGCACTAGGGAAAAATATTCTCATTGTGGAACTAAAAATAGTAGAGATATCACAGCAGTTCATATTTGTTCTTCCTAGCATCTACACTATTGGTAATAAATTTGTGAGCTTCCAAACTGAGTCTTCACAGGATGGACCAGAGTTGCAGAGGGCTGTAGAGAAGGACTGAATTTAAATTGTAGGTCGGATCCTCAGCTGGTATAAGGCACTGTCCAGGTTTACGCCAACTGGTGATTTCTGGTTTAATGAAAGCATAGATTATGGAGCTAATGAGTGTAAGAAGAGGATTGTGATTCTAATATAGAAACAATCAAACAAGTGATTGACCTATACTATTAACACTAACACCTGGAGATGGGACAGCCTGAAAAGGTTCTGGGATTTAGCTGAAATAAGCATCCAGGAGTTCAGCATCCATCAGCATAAAGAAAACCCTTTCCTCCCAGGAGAGGACGTATACAGTACAGAAGATGTCAGCCTTATAGAAAGGTTATCAGTGTCTGGTATGTTCTATAGCAGCAGTCCCCAGTCTTTTTCTGCTGGGACCCCACACCCAATCTGGCCTCCCGATCTCTCTAGAACAAGCTTTCATTCAAGATTTTATATCGTTTCCTCCTTCTCACGCAGCAGCTTAGCACTTCTGGAGTTAACCACAACTCAGAAATACAGCCAGCAAGGTGGAAACACAGAATGACCAGAAAAGTAACAGGTGAACCAATGCTTTTGCACCTCAGAAAAAAAGATTAGATTCAAGCTTTAGGCCAAAGACCAAGAGATATTGTTATATTATGGGAAGCAAGTCCAGTTGCCATCCTGGACACTCTAGCCACCATGCACAGAATGAATTTAAACTTAAAACAAAGGGGATGTGCATGCAAGAAAGAGTGGTCCAAAGGACATCTATGAAACCCTACTGATGGCAGTGGAATTTCACTAGAATAAAAGATTACTATCTATGCATGCGTTTGTATGCATGGCTAGTTTTCACGCACAGAAACACTTGCATCCAGACTTTAAATGTAGGATCACAGGCAGCGTCCCCTCTAAGCAGTGTGGATCATGCCGCGCACGCCACGCGGCTTAGAGGGAACGCTGATCACAGGCTATTTTTTTTCTATAAGGCCCACATCTCTTTCAGTGCATAGGGTGGACAATGATCATTCAGGGAGCAGGTATTAAGCATTGCTTCTTATTGCTGAACATGTTGCCCTCCCCCACAAAAAAAGCTTATTTACCGCACGCTGAGCACACACACACACATATACATATACATATACATATATATGTGTGTGTGTGTGTGTGTATATATATATATATATATATATCTCTATATATGTATGTATGTATGTATGTATGTATATGTATATATATGTGTGTGTGTAGATGCATGTTTGCATTTGAGGTACCAAAAGTTAAACATTTTGAATCCCTAAGACGAAATACTATCCTGGCTTCACTTCACTGACATCAGTGAAGCAGTACAAGAATAAGCCACAAGCAGAATATGTCTCCCTCTCCCTGCGTGAAAGATTTTTGGTCAGAAGGCCCGAAACCAGCTTCCATTAAAGCAACTGGAAAGCCTCCAACTGAGTTAAGCATTAGTGAAAGAGTCTTAAATCCCCGGTCTGATCTAATTTACACCAGTGTCAGAGAGATCGCAATCAATATTGTATTTAGCTCCAACCCATTGATGGGGCTGAGGAGGAAAGGTTGAAGTATTATGAATTAAAAAATCTCTCAAGCTTAATATCAGCAAAGGATGATTATTTCCTTTGATTTGTCAGCCTAATTGAAAACAGCTTTATAGTTAGCAGATGATTAATTAGGAGCCAACAAGATCTCCATTTGCATCTCAGTAATTGTCCACTCCATTTTATTTCAACATCCAGGCAGGTTGTTTAAAGGAGTCAGCAAGAAAGCAGAAAGGTGATTCACAGCAGACTGTAAAATGGGTGCCATTTGTTTTGGGTTTTCTTTTGCATTTTTTCCCCCTACACATTTTGTCAACAAAGCAAAAAGAGAAAAATATGCAAAGTTACAAAATGGGCTCTGTGTATGTGTATACACCATATACAGTCTATCCTCATCTGTGATGGACGTATTTTGGCTACATTCATTTGGAGACAGGGGGCAGAGCAGATAAAACAAAGATAAAATAAGAAGCCAAAATCTTGTCTGGCCCAGTTTGGATTCATCTTGTAAGGTAACAGGAACCAAGGCCCCAATCCCGAAGCCCCCTTACATGAGAAATTGTGATTCACATGAACGATCCCATTGTGATAAATAGAGCCAAGTCATTATTGCCCCCTTTAATCGTGTACCCAGAAGGCAGCATGTATAACTGCACAACTAGATCAGCACGGTTGTATTTTATATTCGCTTTGCCCCGGAGTAAATGATTATGTGCATTTCGGAACAGGGTGGAATGGAGCCCAGTGGGCCTAATTCTGACTTGCTTCACAGAGATGTAAATCTTACTC